ATGATCATGAGCTGTATCAGAATTAGTACATGGAGCACTGTGGAACTTACCTGGACCACTGAGGGATTACACATATGTAAGGCCATACGGTACGATTATTTTTTTCTGGTATGTAATAATATCTATACTATTCCTTAGTATTGTTATTGAGTTTGACATTTTAGAATCGTGACAACAGTACTATAATGACAAAACAGAACTACATTCTTCATAAATCCCATTGAATATAGCAGAGGTCTTCAACAGGGGGGTCGAGAAAACTTTGGTTGATTTGACATTTTTTATTTTATTTTTTTATATATGTTTCTTCATTTTTGAAGGATGAGGATGAACTGGTTTTCAGTGGGTTCTGTCTGTTCACTCCTTTGTCACTTCTGTGTCTCTCTCTTCATTCCCTCGCTCCCTGTCAAATCACAAACACCTCGGGACGGATTTTACCGTTTCTTGTACCGTAGCTACCCATTATGCACATTACACACAGTGCATAGGGCACTAAGTGCTTGCGATGGGAACCGTGTGAATCCTCACAAAACTACTGGCTTAGCATTTGGTGGTGTGGCTCTTGGTACCCCCCTGTTATGTACCGCTGTACATAAAAGGGAAGCTGTAAGGGGAAGCGGTGAGGCAACTTCGGGCGTATTATTCAGGCTCCGAAGTCCGCACTGCGCAGCCAGCCTCCTCTCCCGGTTGCTCCGTGGACAGAGAGGAGGCTGGCTGCATAGGGCAGCGGCCGGGAGGGGAGGGGAGGGGAGAGTTGTGTCTTTCTTTGCTCCTCAGATCAGAATGACCAGCAAAGTTCTGTGGCCCAAATCAAACTCTGTGGGTGTGCACTGTGGCTGCTCTCTTATTTAGTCAGATCAATTTAAAAAAGTCACACTTTGAGCCCATTTTCCATGATGTCGTTGCTCCATTGCTCTGGCCATCTCAGAGTCACCACGAGCACAAAGTGCAGCTTGAACTTCAGGCCAGAAGTAGTTTTGGTCAGACTTATTTCTGTCATGGAACGGGTTGAGGCTTAAACTGGAGATGGAGCTAGTTTCAGCTCAGGATTTCAGGATAAGCCTGGACTTTGTAAGTAATTTCGATGGAATACCCACACTAGTATTTAATGTACAATAACAGAGTAGCTTTTTATACATGATATTAGGCCCAATTTAATATAAAGCACAACTGTATGACAGACAGTAGAGGGTTAGGATTAAGCCTGAAAAACATTGAAGACCCCTGGAATATAATATTATGTTGACACTACCTTGTAAACTCTAGTCTCAAGTGCCCTCCTAGGACTTACTTGTTCAAAAGGAAAAGTAATTTTTCTGGGTTTTTGTTTGTTTTGTACAGTACCTCTGTAGTTGGTGTGATAGGCTGCCTGCAGGTCACCCACTCCAAATGTACTTTCAGCACACATTATATTGAGTGTAAACAAGGTGTAAGACGCCAGTGCTTGGATCCAGGGTAACTCATCATAGCCAATCAGTGCCACTATAAACAAAATTCGATTACAAATCAGAATTGTCCAAAGTGTGAAAAAAGGAAAGGATTGAACCCCGCATCGTGTCATGTCCAAGGTCTTTTTCTTTTGTCTCACCTCTGTACTCCCCCTCTCTCCTCATGGGACACCCCCTCTCCTCATGGGACCCCCCTCTCTCCCCTCAGACTGAGGTTTGGCGTGAGAACCAGCCCAAATGTTTGTGTCTTCCTCTCCCCAGACGCTTCCTCCCCTCCCCTGCACCTGCTTCTCTCTGATACATGTAACAGTAATAATAAGGATAAACACAGAAGACTTTGCACCTTGTTTCTGGAGGTGGGCTTGTTAGCGCCGCACCTGCCCTGTCTCACCTCCCGCTGTGGACGCAGTGAGATAAACAAATGTAAATGAACCACAATGCACCTGTACCACTGCAGGACTGTGCACTGTTCAGACGGGTTAGAGACAGAGGAGGGAGAAGACTAAACAACAGATAAATAAGTGGGAGAGAGGCGTGTGACTGGAGGAGAGACTGGCTGTGACTTAGGGCAGTAATCAATCTAATCACAATAATCATGACTAGTTGTCTTTTAAAATAATTGTAATTGTTATTTGGACTATACAGAAAAAAAATCAATAATACACTTTGAGGGATCTAGTTAAAAGTATATTTATTTATAGTCAAAATGTTTAGTAGAAAATTAAAATATCTTCTGTTGTAACCCAAGTATCGGTGGTTAGTACGGTTGGGAATTGACGGGTATAAAGTGGTGACCTAAATGCAACTTTACTCCATGGAGATGTTATTGATTTGCCTCAAATGTACCACAGTATGGCATTCCATGTTATGTCCATCAGTCATGCAGGGGCAGGTGACAAGTTTATGCATGTTAGGTCTGTGGAGAGGCGAGCTCACTCCCAGTACTTTTTTTTTTCCCCAATAACACACTTCATACCATAACTTCAGCCCAATTAGTCTTATATAAACTATAAGTAACTCATATTTTTAGCACTTTTTTACTCTGTCACAAGTACATTTTTATACTACAAGCACTGTTAATCTAATCTAGGGTTGTCAGAAGTATCAAATCAGATACTGAGCGATACTAAAACTAGAGATGTAACAATAACCGAAATATCTTCTTGATATAGTATCATCAAAGTTCTCACAGTAATTTTGTGGACCATCACAATATATCAAATCTCTTTGCTTAAATTAAGAGTTACAATGCAGCAATAACTAAAAAAAAAAAGGAAATACATAGACCATGATCCTTTGCTCCATTTCAGTGCAGACTACAAGAAGGAATAACAGTTCTAAGCACTTTTAAGTCTTCTTTCTTTGGATTAAGTCTTGTCAAGGCATTTTAAGAGGAAAAAGTAGTGTATTAAGAGTTTTTTTTTAGCCACAGAATATTGCAATAAATATTGTTCCGTGAGATGTATATTGTGAAAATATCGTACCGAGACATTTGGATATTGTTACATGCCTAATCGTGAGCCTCCCCATCATATCGTGAGCTTTCCCACGATATCACAATAAATATCGTACCGTGAGGTTCATACCATGACGATATCGTATCGTGAGACCCCTATAAAACTAGCATCGAAACTAGATACTCATTTTTCACAGGTATCGATTCTAAAAAAAAACATTAACGGGACAGAAATGAACCTTTCCCGAATGTCTTTATGTGCTCTTATACTTGTTCTGATACTGCTCAAGAACATTCTAGACTCGTATATGTGCATGGAGCACTATGGAACCTTCCTGAACCACTGAGGGATTACTTACATATAAAACCACATGGGAATAGAAAAGAAAGTACTAATATTTAATGTTGAAGTGAATGCATTTTAAGACCCCTCATGACTGTTCAACTGAATCCTCCAACTCAATAGTTCTTGACATCATTAAACCAAACCAAAGTTCATTAAATTTCTTCACGTTCAAAGTCACGGCTCTAAAAATATCCAAACTCTTTCCTTCTCTCCGACACTTCCTCTGTGTTTGTGGCCTCGGGGTTTAAATCTGTTTTTCTTTGGGTCGAACTGTCTGTGCAGCGGCAGGAGGCGCTCACACGTATTATTTGTGTTTGTTATTTAAAAATAAAGTTTAGCATATGAGAAACAGTTTGGATCTGCTCGGTGTATCGCTCTTGGTGCTTTTCAGATTCTCAAATGTGATCTCATACTTTCAGAGGGAGCCAAGAGACAGATTTTACTATTGATTACATTGTACTTTGACATGAACTATCCAAAATATAAATTCACAAATGCTCAATCTCATCATTTCTATTACTGACAAGACCCAAGGATTCACTGTATTACAACACAAATCAGCATTTAAGCGTTCTTTTTTAGTTCCACCCATCTCTATTAAATCTGATTGGTCGTAGAATGTTGTGATGTCATCTGAAATCCAGCAATATTACATATTATCCAGACTTTTCAAGCTTTTTTTAAGGACACAACAAAATCACAATACAAACAAATAAAAATGTTGTATATATTTTAATTCACTTGAAATAGAAGTTGCAAAAACCGGGACTAAACCGGGACTAAACTCTTTTATACCTGACCTATACCGGGATTAAACCGGGACTAAACAGGGACTAAACCGAGACTAAACCCTTCTATACCTGACCTAAACGCGGACTAAACGTGGACTAAACGCGGACTAAACGCGGACTAAATGCGGACTAAATGCGGACTAAACGCGGACTAAACGCGGACTAAACGCGGACTAAACGCGGACTAAACGCGGACTAAACGCGGACTAAACGCGGACTAAACGCGGACTAAACGCGGACTAAACGCGGACTAAACGCGGACTAAACGCGGACTAAACGCGGACTAAACGCGGACTAATCCTACCTAACTAAAAATATTCAAATCCAGGCATGTGGTGGCGGGCCGGACACCAAGCAATGCTCATAAAATAATTTCTGTAAATATAACTTACTGTTTACTGTTATTTCTACTGTTGCTGCTACTACTCTGTGTATTATTATTATATAATAATATGAAAACCTTGCAGAGGGGCAGATTAAAATGGGACAAGGGCCACAAAATACTCACGTCTGCCATAGAAGGTCTGAACTGGGTCTGAACCAGGTGTGAATCCTCACATCCTCAGATCCTGATGTAGAGAGCAGACACATTTTTTTGTTTTTGTTTTAACGGGCTGGCTCTTTTCCAGTTGTCTGCCCCGGGGCGGCTCTGCAGATGTGACACCTTTGGTCCCTGCGCTCTGCTCCTCTGAACTCACACCGAGCTGCTAAAACACAAACCCAGAATAAGAGCAAGTGATTTGGGGAATACAAACTCAAATTGTACTTTTACAACGGAAATATGTCATAGTTTAATTGTTGAAGAGTTTGATTAAAGCAAAAGTTTACAGATGTTCATGCAAAATGGTGGTGATGATGTAGTTTTTAATCCCCTTCTCAGTGTACAGTCTTAAAGTTCTGTAGCTGTTTTTTTTTCCCCTCACAGCTGAACTCACAGTATGTGTTTTGTCCCTGCACAGACTCCATACCACGTGAACATGCTCCTCGCCGGTTACGACGACACTGACGGCCCGGGCCTCTTCTACATGGACTATCTGTCGTCTCTGGCCAAAGCTCCTTTTGCGGCACACGGATATGGAGCCTTCCTCACACTCTCCATCCTCGACAGATACTACAGGCCAGGTACACAAAAATACAAATACTAATCCATTGCAAATAATTAGAATATCATGAAAAAGTTTTATATTTTTTGTCACTCATTTCAGAAAGTCAAACTAATATATTATATAGACTCATGACACATACAGTAATAGAGAAATATTTTGAGTTTATTTCTTGAATTTGTATGATTGTGGCTTACAGATCATGAAAAAAACGAATTTCTGTGAGATTCTAATTATTTGAGATGGACTAGTGCTATATGTTACCAGCTGTGAGTACTAACACAGAGAAATAAAACTCCGATTGAGGAGCTTCTGTACATGTACGTCTACAGAGGTACGTTCAGCAGTTACCATGGTGAAACAATAGCAGTACAATACAAAATCACAACTCCTGAGTCCGTGTACCATTTGTTCTTTTGAATGTCATTTAAGAATGAAAAACAATAAAATGGGAAAACGGTTTGTTACTTCATGATTCTGCTTTAGTGTCAAAAAAGATTTCAACCTCTATTTTCAGTATTTAATTAGGTGTTTTTTGAAATAAACTTCTATCAAAAAAACAGTGTCTATTTCAATTTTGATATTTTATCCTCTGGTTTATTTGCCTCGGAAGTTCTGCTGCTAGAAGGACTTGCCCTATTTTTCAGACTATAAGTCGCGCTAGAGTATAAGTCGCACCAGCCCACAAATGCGTAATGAAGAAGAAAAAAACATATATAAGTTGCACTTTTTGGGGGAAATTTATTTTATAAAATCAGAGAGCAGGAACTGACATTTCATGCTGAAAGTCAAGTTCTAGTAATAACAACAGAAGAGAGAACAACAGACTGTTAACGTCACATATGAACAGTTCTTCAGATAAACTATAACATAAACAACAGAACAGAACAAGTTTAACAAACTCTCCATCTCACTCCAAATCACTAAATCCATTCAATTCTTCATCCTCGGTGTCACTTCTGAGCAACTCCTCGACCTCCGGAGGTAAACAGAGTGCCACTTCCTCTTCTGTGTAGCTGTTAGACTCAGCATCAGTTCCAGTTAGAATTATTCCGGCCTTTCTGAATCCCAACAGGATGTTTCGGTGTCACTGAAGTCACTTAAATTTTTTATTTTTAATGGTACGTTCGACTGACATGATACAGACAGGACAGAGGCTCTTTCTGCAGGAGACATGCGCAGGAAAGTGAAGTGACAGTGGTACAGGAGGAACAGGAGCAGCAGATACTCACATACAAGATTAGAGCCTCTCGCGGCTGTCAGTGTGAACATTTTAAATATAGAATCGCACCAGAAAACACCCAAACCATGAAAAATAGTGCGACTCATTGTCCAAAAATACGGTATTTAAGATGTACTAGTACTAGTAATATGTTACAGGCTATGAATACTAACACAGAGAAATAAAACTATGATTGAGGGGTTTCTGTACATGTACGTCTATGGCGGTCTGTTCAGTAGTTGCTATGGTGAAACATAGCAATGCAATACCAAATCATAACTCCTGTTGTAGTTTTAATTCACTTCTTCATGATCAAGGCTCGCACTAAAAAACTTGAATAGCAAAGCTTTAGACAGAGCTGTGCCTCTAACTAGCTTTGTTTAGAATTATTTTTTAGTTACGATCATATCAAGAAGATTAGTCACAATTATCAACTAACCAGATAACCTTGGCGTCCTTTCTGGTGTTTTAGTTTTCCATCTTGTATTGGTCAAATCATCTCAGGGGTTGTTGGTTCAAAGCTCTTGTTTCATATACACCAAACTTTGTTTTTATTGTATGGACTACTTTTATAAGAGGAGCTCATTATTTCTGTTAATTACATTTGCTTTCATCTTTTTTTTCATGCACTTTTCTTCTGTTCTTTGTTTCAGATCTGACCCGAGAAGACGCCGTGGATCTCCTCAAGAAGTGCATTGAGGAAGTGAGTCATTTTTACGCTTAATTAGCAACAATAAAGGCAATTTCAACAAAGATGTGTGAAGAAAAATATTTACAAAGTTTAAATCAAAGTCTCAAAACATGTTTTACCACTTGGGGCAAGAAGCTTAAAATAATCTGTACATGATTTTTACTGTTTTAAAAACACAAAAAATAGAATTAGATCATTTTGTTTGCAGTGTTCCAAAGTTCTTCCTCGCTTACCTTATGCATTCAGAGCGTCCTTATTGTTCACCATGATGAGTTTTTGAGCACTTTTCTAACTTTCAGAGACCAGAACGAGCATGCTAACAATGCACTTCCTCATTTTCATACATTAAAACACTAAATAATTAGATGCAGACAGTACACCAGACTTTCTTTGACCTGAAGAGCTGTTTATACAATATATCTCTACTGGGACAAGACATATTTTGCTCAAATACATGGAAAAAAACAGCTTTTAATTAATGAATGAACCACTATTTTTTCTCTGTTTTTAGCTGAACAAGCGTTTCATCCTGAACCTGCCCTCCTTTAACGTCAGAATCATCGATAAAGACGGGATTCACGACATGGAGAAACTCACTTTGGGATCGGCCAAGTGAAACCACAGCTCTTATAGTCCAGGTTTAACTTTTGTACCACTTTGATTTGTCTGTTCAAATAAAAGAGATGTTAATATGAACTGTTGTCGTTTTGTCATCTATCAAAGGATTTCAGAATAATAAAAAAATAAGCACTGTTACCATAGCAATTAACAACTTAAAACAAAATCTGTGAATATTGACTAGGAGCAGTGATTAGTGATTATTAAGGTTTAATAAGGACTAGATCAGGGGTCACCACTTTTTTCCTCCGGTGAGCTCTTTTACAAAAAAAAAATGCCAGGGAGCTGCTCATTTTAATGGCCGCAAGAAACTGAGACGATTATAAGAAAGAGGAAGAGCCTTTGGGTGCAGTTAGACGACTATTAAACATAAATTATTGTCTGTTTATTAGTGCACAAAGTTAGGCTTCAAAATGATATATTTACGATAGTAACAGGCAGGTAATTAACATTTTTTTTTGTTCTTAAGCACAATTGTATAATTCCAAAATCCTTTGACGAGCTACTTCGAAGATGGTGGAGAGCTCCAGGTTGGAGACCCCTGGACTAGATGTACAGATATCTTATTTTCAATAAAAACAGGACTAGATTTAAGCTGCAAGATGAATAAACAACAAAATGTAAAAGAAAAAAAAAAGAAAGTCATATTCTGTGACTTCCTTGCCAAAAATGGAAAAGTATGTATTTTCATTATGGATTATTTCACTTACTATGAGCAGACTTGCATCTCCACAAACCTGACTCTTACTTGGCCTGGAGGAGAGCTTGATTGTTTCCATGGAAATGTAGTTCTTTGGGCTCTAATATTCCATTATATGACATAAATTGCCTCTATTTCAGTGTTTCCCTAACTTTTTTCTGGGGATCCATATTTTAAAAGTCAAAACCCAAATCAATAGACATTATACATAAATCACTAAATATAGGTGGATTTGAGTATTTTATTGTTGACTGAGTGATCATTTACTCAAGTTTTAAACAATGAAAAACTGTCACTGAAGCAGCAATAAAAGGATCCAGAAGTCAGTTTGGACATTAAATGTAGCCCATTTCTTTTTCTTTTCAACATTCAATTGAACCAGAAATATTGGAACAAAAATTATACAAAACATGTCTTAACATTTCAACATTTCTAAAGAGATAGGTGGACCTGTCATGCAGATCAGGCGCAGTATTCAGTCTGTTTCTGTACTTTGTTTTCATTTTTGTGAGCACAGAAAATCCCAATTCACCCAAATATGTAGTAGTGAAAGGAATAAGCAGATAAATAGTGGCCCTACTGAGGACAGGAGATTCTGACCAAATGCTGATCCACAGTGCCAATAAGGTCACAGATCAGAACTGTATATTGCAGATCTACATGAAATATACAGTGCAATATACATGACGAGAAGGCGAGAAATCTCTTGTGAAACCACCCGAGGGTAGCGACTCAGTCTTTGGAAAACAATGCTCTATTTCCATGGTGAATGTTCAGAAGTATGGCTTTACCGTATTTTGTGCACTATAGGGGCTCTGGATTATAAGGTGCACTGTCATTGAATGGTCTAACTTTTTTCTAACTTTTTCACATATAAACAGCACCGGACTTTAAGGTGCATTAAACGAAACACAACAGTTAGATAAGTCAGTCAAACTTTATTTAACGCATTCAGAATAACTCTCAACTTTGTACAGTTGTAACGCGTAAAAAAATACTATCTGAGACGCTAAATTGTTAATGTAGTCACAATAAGTCATAATAGTTCGGCGATTACAGCGTCCATCGTGCCCACATCCCTCTCGTCATTATCCGAGTCAGTGTGGTTACTGTTCCCTGGCAGTTCAGTGATGATTCTGGTCTTGGTGAAAGCTTGGACCACAGTTGATACTGATCCTTAGCCCAGGCGTCTACGATCCATCAGCTGATCGTGGCGTAAGTGGCTCGGCGCTGTCTCTCTGTCTTGGTGAATGTATGTTCTCCTTCTCCCATCCACTGCTCCCACGCAGCTCACACTTTCACTTTATAACAGCCTTGAGTTTAAAGTGGGCGTTGTGAGCATGTCTCTTGACAGGTGCATTTTGATATTAAAAGGAATCACAGTATGTATTACTCCTGATGCTCCTGACTACGGGAGCCGCAATGCTGCAAGTGGTGGAGCTTTACTAAAGTCGTACTAAGACACACCAATAAATTCATATATAAGGCGCTCTGGATTATAAGGCGCGCAGTTGTTTTTTGATGAAATTAAAGGCTTTTAAGTGCGCCCTATAGTGCGGAAAATATGGTAAATTTATTTCCAGGGAATCATAATGATGAAGTCCCGCCTCCAGAAAGTTCTAAACCATACCTTAAGTTGTAGATTCAAAGTTTCATTGTAGATTCCATTAATATGAAAAAGAATAATTTCATAAAAACTAAAAATGTTGTCAAAATGAACTGGGAACAATTGGACTTCATGTGGGTAAGATAAAGGTGCATTATGTAACTTTTTGATAGGGAGATCTGCCAACTTTTTATCTCCGTGGAGCTGTTATTGCTGCCTGTGATGTCCCACACAGTATGACGTTGAGTTTAATTCCATATTGCGGGACGTAACAGGCGAAGCAGCGGCATTTCCATGGAGACAAGCACCAGAAGACTTGTGCGGTGCACCTTTTAAATATTCTATTAACCGACGAAAATGCTCTCAGATCTGTGTAAGGTCTTGTCATATTTACAAATGTGAAACCTCTCCCTTGTCATCTCCTCCTCCCTCTCTCCTCTCTCCCCCTCCTTTTTCTCTCTCTCTCTGCTCCTGTCTTCCTCTGAGCCCGAAGGCAAACATATGCTACTCTTCCGCCGCAAAAAGAAGAGAAAGGGAAGAGACAGACAAGAGAGAGGTTTGCGAGCTCACTCTCCGTCTCTCCATCTCGCATATATTCAATTACAGGTGTTTAATTGCTCAATAACCTAACATAAAACATACATTCTTACAGTCAGTACATTCGCCTCTCCACAGATCTGACCTGTAACTTGGCCTTGGCATTCCAGACAAAAGTACAAACTTCAGTTGCATTCAAATCAGTCTTCTTTAATTAATAATATATTACATTTATGAAGTAATACAATAATAACAACAGTAATAACATAATACACCAAAAGTACAAAATATTTTAAGTTACAACACGTTTTTCAAAATAAAAGTCCTGTAGCTGCCTTTGACTCTGCTATAATAAAAGTCCAGCCACAATCAAAAGAGTTCAAGTCCAGGAAACTCCATTTCACATCATCCTCTGCTGCAGATTACTTTTGTGTATTTTAAAAAGCAAAAATGTGGATATGGCTTCTTGCTTCTTTCTTGGTACAGGTGGAAATCTGAAAGTTGTACTCCTTAAATACATTAAATTAAAATAAATATGGTAATAAATAGAAACAAAACAGAAAAAGGTCCAAGCAAAAATAACAGGATGGTTACTGTTCAGAAATGACCAACTAATTTGTGTTTTTAGTTCAAATAAGTTGTGTTCAAGACATCGCCAAACTTCTGATCCACAAATGTTGAACCTTTTCATTATTTATTTGGGATTTGGTTCCACAAAGTTCAGTAACTACGGAGACATGAACCTTAAACCGGGTCAGCAAATCTGTATCTGAAAGTTACTCAACAAACTCCACCTGAAATTCTCACTCATCTCCAAGCTCAGGTTCAACTAGAAAACTACTTCTATTTTCTCATGTGACGTGAACACAACCTACTGAACTGTGCTTTTTATTGGGCGATATAACAAAAAATTAATTCATAATGGTTTTTGAGCCTCGATAACCATTTCACTGTGATTTTTCTCTCACTGAGCATGACCGAGGCTGAGCCAAAGATGTTCATTTTGTCTTCTTATATACTTTAACTTCTTGGGTTCTTTTTAAAGACAATACAGTAAAGTGTATTTACCTTGTTGACATGTTTCGGCTGGCAGGTCGCTCAGACTGACCACGCCTCCCGTCGACCGGTGTTCTTTGGAGGAGGGTGTCCCAGGTGTGTGAAAGGAGGAACGCTCCATCATCACAGTTAATGCTGTCCATGCCTCGTTTCCTGATTTCAATGGCCTCCTTGATCCAGCGTTTGAACTTGTTGTTTTCTGATCCAATGACCATGGATCAGAACAATGGTCTCCTCCAGAGAACATCGGGTGATGGGAGGTGTGGTCAGTCTGAGCAACCTGCCAGGTCCAGACTAACCACGCTTACAGTAAGTAACAACAGCTGATATACGACACGTCACCACCAACACCGAGGACAGTTCTGAAGATGACTTAGAGCTAGCAGCCGAAACATGTCAACAAGGTAAATACATTTTACTGTATTGTCTTCAAAAAGAACCCAAAAATGACCAAGGCTGACCAAAAGGAGAAGTGATCTGGAGAAAAGTGTTACGATTTCGATCAAATTATAACTTAATGTTTATCATCAAATTGCCCAGTGCTATTCATCAATACAAGTTATTATTTTCCTTTTATCTTCTTTACCTTCACCTCTGTTGTTACAGTAAATGGTACTGTATGTTTATAAAATGCACCAGTATTGTATCTGGTGAGTTATATCTGTAAAAGAATTCAACTTGCCAAAGCTGAAAGTGAGAGAAAATATTTCAAATAAACTTTACAGCAAATCCTTGGTCCAAATACTTGTGTTGAGGTGACAAAGAAGAGGTCAGTAAAAAGTAAACCAACATTTCTGTATCTGTCCGTTCCATTCTGTTATACTGTGATTGTTGTGAACTTGCAGAGTGAAAGTTACAAAAAGCTTCTTCCAGAGAAGCCAAAAACAAGGCGATTTTGAGTCTCGTGTTTGTTCAAATCCACAGTTCGGTTTGCGTTTTCCTTGTGTTTTATTTGCGATGTTTGAGCTCTTTGTCATGGTGCAGCTTGCCTCCTGTCTCTCCTTTGTCCAGGATTTTGATGGCTTCGCTCAGGTAGCTCTGGAAGGCGGACAGGGCGGCGCAGATGGCTGGAGAACCAAAGCCGTGTGTGAGGAGACTGAAGTGGGTCAGGCTGCTCTGAACGCCCGGGTCCAGGCACGGGGTCGGTCTGCTGCCCCCTAGAGGAGAGCGGTCCTGAGA